TTCAAAACTTCAAAAATTAATTTTATAAAAATTATTTTTTATGTACGAAATCATAAATGAGAAAATATAATATACATTAATTTTAATTATATATATAATATATATATATTTAATTATATATATAATATATATAAATACATATAATCCATTTCAATATATTATTCCGGAGAAAAAATCATGGAACCACGAAAATTGTAACAAAAAAAAAAAAATACAAATCTTTGTAATAAAATAAAAGCAAAATAATTATTTTGAAAAGAATTTAATTTTAATTTTAATTTTTTCGTTCGAACTAGCGATCTTCCTTTCTCTTCTCTTGTTTCTTTTTTTTCAGGGAAATGTAAGACAGTCGATCGAGGATTAGGATTGCCACTCGCGTTTCTAGCTAGAGCCGAAGCTTTTCTCACATGGAACGAATATCGGTTCGCTTTGGAAGATTTGACTTTCGTCGAGGAGATGAATCATCTTCTGCCAAACGAATTAAGGTGAAGAAAGAAGTATTTGATAGGAAGATGAAAGAAACAGAGATCATAAGTATCATTTTAAAAATTATTCAAAATTAAGAAAATCAATATATTTTTTTCAATGATCTTTGTTATAAATAATGATTAAAAATAATTAAAATTATCTATTTTAGTTATCCAATAATCAATAACAATGAGAAATAAGAATTTTTTTTTTTTTGTTACTCGTAATCAATCTATAAAAATATTTTATGATTACATTCGATTATTGTCAATGTTATGATTATTTAATATATCAATAATATAAATTTAATTATTATAAAATTTATGGAAAGATAGATATGAATATGCATGAAATAAAGAATAGAATTAAATTAATTTTATATTTAAATTAAAATTAAAATATTAAATATTATATAAGATGAAGAGAATTCAAAATAAGCCACCCGAATATCTCGATTATTATTAATGATAAAAATAAAATGCATCAGATTAAATTTGCACGATGAGAAACATCATAATTTGATAATAAGTAAATAGTTTTTTGAGTAAGTTAGTTTTTTAAGTAGAATTCATATGAAATAATATATTTTTGTAAAATGTCATAGTAAAACATTTTAAAACACATACATTGATCCATTATTGGTTTAAGATTATTCATAATCAATAAAGGTTTTATTATCAATTATAAGAGAAAACAATTTACTCTTAATATAAATAATCAAATACTTTATTTATGTAATGGCAATTTATCAATATATTAATATTTAAATGTATAAAAAATGGTGAATTTTGAACATGTATGCTCTAAAACAATGCGAAAAAAATATTATGGCATGCCAAATTTTGTTTTTTCATCTCTTTTCTAATTATCGATTCTCTGTTTTATTGTATTCTTTAATTTAATTTTCCCTATAAAGAAAAATCTAAAAATATTAAATCTAGTTAACTATATTCTTCATTCTTAAATAACGTATTTTATAAGCCACATTACAATCTATACTAGAATATATTTAAAATAATTAATATTCATAGATAAGGAATAAATAATGATGTATAACAATATAACAGAATGTTTATTTATATTCAATGATTCGTATTATCGTGATATTATTAACAATCAAAGAAATTATATGAAATAAATTATTTTCGAATTTGACTTTGACATGAAGTTGACCTTGTACTATTATGCAAATCATTATGCGCATTATCTTAAAATGTTTTACTAGATAATGCATGTGAAATATATCATTCCATTTAAAAAAAAAAACGATCTTAGCATGACCTCTAGGCGTTTACCTATTAAAAAACTATTTATATGCAAGTTTGGTTAATATATTTTTTCCTATCATCAATAAACCAAGATGTTTAGTTGATTTGTTTTAGATGCTTTAGGTTCTGTATATAAGTTAAATAAAAAAAATTTAATCATAATACTATTTATTTTATTCTTTATTTCATATATTTTGATATTTTTCTTGGGTTTAATAAAATATGTAAGTTTTATAATTAATTTTGTGTTATTGATGGATATTAATTACAACAATTGACAATAGTTAAATGTAAGAAACATTTTAAACAAAAAGAAAAAATTTTCTGATCATTAATATATTGGTTATCAAAATGAATTTTCAGTTCATTTAAATGGCTATTCTAAATAATGAGAAGAGTTAAGAATTATTTTCTTTCTTAATCTTTTATTTCTAAAAAATTTCTCTAAGATTTAATTATGACTGCCATCTATTTAAGTAAACGTTAATTCTTAATTCAACGATTTTTTTTTAATTTTTTAAATAACTGCTATTTTTGATTTTTGGAAAAATGTAAAAAGAAAGTGTCTTTTAGAACAATGTTGGCTCGGAAGAAAGAAACGTGCGAGAAATTCTTACGTGCAAGTGAGAAAAACCTAGTATCTATAGAACAGGATCGAAGGAATGGAGCACTGGTTGCCACCGAGGAAAAATATGGTATGTTTTTGTCATTGAGATTGGCAACCATGACGGTCAATACACTGAAACTACACTTTCTCAGAATAAAACATACATTTACATCTACATCTACATCACATAAAATTAAAAAATTCACAAAATTTTAACCAAAAAATTGTTGAACTGTTAAAATTTTGAAAAAAAATATATATAAATAATAAATATTTATTCCTTTATTTACATATTCATTTAGACAAAAAAATATATAACTACACATTTCATCCATAAAATTAAAAGATCATACAAATTTTAATCAAAAAATTGTTACTCTTTCAACTGTTATACCTTTGAAAAGAAATATTTGTATAATTATTTATTTATTCATTTATACAAAAAATCCACAAAATCTTGCTCACAAAATTTTCATTTATGTTATTTTCATTTATATATGTTATTTTCAATTACTGAAAAAATATTTATAAATTTATAAAAAAAATATGCTTTATCAAATATAAAAATAAATACAGAAAAGAATATCCAATATTAATCAATAAATACTAATTATTGCTAAATTAGCAATTATATCAAAAAAATAGTTTAGAGAAAAATTAAAAATAATTTTCAAAGGAACATTCATATTTTTTAGTTTTCACTATTTTTATTTTATAACATTTATATTTTTAAACAAAATATTTATTAAACAAAAATACATAATTCTCTTTACAATAGGCAATCATTTTATCTATAATTTACAAATAAGGCTTTCAACTTATATCAAATTGGAATATTCACCGTCTTAGTTGTATTATATTCGTATCAGAAATTCCAAGAATCTTTGTTTGAAATATCAAGAGATTAATTTTAATACTCATACTCTTCATTTATTAATCTATAGATCAAACAACGATCTTATAATTAACGATTCTTCGATTTTCTTCTATTCATTTCAAATCAAATTCGTTTACTCGCAGTATTAAAAGGTGGTGAAAATCCTCGCCTACCAGGAGCCTCGATTCTCCTCGACGTTGAAGAAACGGTGAATGCTGGCAAACGAGTGATCGCGGCCAAGAATATCGAACCTGGAGATCGATTGATCATTGAATCACCACACGCGGCTATTCTGCTTCCAGAATTCTTCGGTACCCATTGCCAACACTGCTTTTCAAGGTTAGTTCTGTCTCCAAGTAAATGTCTTTTTTTTTAGAACTGCGAAAAATTTGAAGTAAATTGTAACAAATATTGGAAAATTTCCATTCGAATAAATGTTATTTAATATGGGCGAATATTATTCGCTACGATAAAACTTTCATTATTTTCATTACTAAGATAATTTAATTTACATTGTTGCAAATAGAGTAGAGTAATAGAATATTCGATTAATAGAATGTTTGAATATTTAATATAAAATATGAAATAAATTGTAACAAATATTGTTACAAAACCGAAATATTTTCATGAATAATTATAACTTGAAAATATTATCTATTTATTGTTATTTTATTGCTGCAATAGAACCTTCATTATTTCCATTGCTATGATAAGATAATTTAATTTACATTGTTGCGAGTAAAGTAGAGTGATAGAATATTCGATTAGAATGTTTGAATATTTAATATAAAATATGAAATAAGTTGTAACAAATATTGTTACAAAACTGGAATATTTTTATAAATAAATATAAAATAAATATGAAATAAATTGAAAATATTATTCATTTCAATATTTGAATATTATTTGCTGTAATAGAACCTTCATTATTTCCATTGCTATGATAAGATAATTGGATTTACATTATTGAAAGTAGAGTAAAGTGATAGAATGTTTGATTAATAGGATATTCGAATATTATATAAAATATGAAATAAGTTGTAACAAATATGAAATATTATTTTCCCAAATATTATTTGAAAATATTATTCATACATATTATTTCATTTAATGAAATGAAATTCTGAATGAATATTATTTGTTATAATGGAATTATCGTTATTTTCATTGAGGTGGTGAAATAATTTGCATTATTGCAAATAGAATACAATTCAGATAAAATGTTCGAATATTAAGTTAGTTGAAATTAATTGAGGTTTTACTATATTTATATTTGGATTAGATATAAATTGAACTCCATTAAAATAAATCAGTCAGAAGGCAAATATATAATATGACTAGTTAATATCTTTTATATAATCTCTCTTCGTGAGACATTTTTGGAGGATTCATCCAAAATAAACAATTCTGACGATAGCAGTTACAGTTTTTGGTCCAAACGATTATTTCTACACAGTTAGAACAGTGGCCAAGTATCCAATAATCTAAATGAAAAATAAATTGATCAAATAATATTGATTAATCAAATATTTGTATAAATATACAAATTTATATTTGTTTCACAAGTAATATTACCTGTTCTATATTTTACTATTTTCACTTCTTTTTTGCTTATTATAATTAGAATATGGACTGTCTATAGAACAACCAATAAGTAACTATTTGCAATACGATATTCAAACATCATGGTATAAAAGATTATTGCTCTAAAGAATTGATATATCTTTGATGAATCAATTCTAGAGAATAAAATTAAAGTTGATGTATAAAAATATCTAAAATATCTATTAAGATTTATTTATTAATAATTATAAAAAGTTATTATTAAAATTGTTTCACATTATCTAATGTGAACTTAATTTGTTTGTAATTTAATAAATAACTCTACATTTTATATATCAACTTTTGCATTCGTTTCAGCTTCTAGGATTGATCCTTCAAAAATATCTTTATTTTGTTTCATCATCAAATGCAAATTTCAAATTATTCATAATTTAACAAATAAGCTTCAACCAACTCTTTTATTATATAAGTTTTTATAATTTATAAAAATTATAAATTCGTTCGTTTTAATCGATCTTCTAAACGTATTTCACAAATATATTAACACCTTATATATTTCAAAATTATATTTTAATAAGTATAAACTATGTACAGTTATCTTTTACAAAAAAAAATCAACAAATCTGAAATTGAATTTGAAACATGAAATGAGCGTTGTGTCGATACAACATTTGAAATTTAAATTTGTGTGCTATTCAAAAATTATATTACACAATAGAACCAAAATATATAAAATCGCATATTAAAACTTATGTAAAAAAGAAAATCAGGTGAAATTTTATATAAATAAATCTATTCTATTCTATTCTATTCTATTTTATTCTATTCTATCTATTTCAAAAATCTATTTTTACTTTCTTTTGTAATCTTTTTAAATCAGAAGTTTTAAAACAATTCTGAAAATAATTTCTTAGTACTATTATTTATCGGTTATAAAAACAATTATAAGAAATCAAAATGATAGTATAACAATTATAAATTAAAAAAGCTTTATATCCGTTACGGTAAAAACCGTTATTATCGGTTATTATCAGTTCTGAAACGATTTTATTAAATAATTATATTATATTAATATATTCCACTTTGTCTTTTACCTCAATCTTTTTTATAAGAATGAAATATAAAGTATTAAAAAGAAATTTTTTTTATTCCTTAAAAAATTGGTGGCAAATCAAGTTTAATATATGCCAAATAGATAGAAAATAGAAAAAAAAATATTTTTGTGATTATATACAAGTGAAAACACAAATAATAACTTTGAAACTAACTAATTAATATATTTAATTAATTTTAATTAATTTTAATTTAATTAATATTTAATTAATATTAATTAATATTAATTAATTAATAATTAATTAATATAATTAATATGTTTGTATTATTAATGTATATATAATTGATATTAATAATTTTGGACATAATGATTATTGACTTTAAATGACACTTATTTCTTTGAATAATATTAAAATTATAATTATATATTAATTATATATTAAAGTTATATTATGATTATTGACTTTAAATGACACTTATTTCTTTGAATAATATTAAAGTTATATAAGTTTATTAATAAATGAATAAAAGAATGATGCATTGTTGATTACACAACAATATATTTCAGAATCGATAT